TTCCTAGATTTTGGATCCAGCTTTGAAATTTCTTGGGCGTTGTACATCACGTACACAATACTTCCAAATACATGGAGGTTTGAATAATCAACTGGTTTACCAGTCCACATCTCCATTGGTGTCTTCAGCTCTATTGTAGTTGATGGAGCTCGATTCACCAAATAACAGGCGGTATTGACTGCTTCTGCATAGAATGATTTTTCTAGGCATGCGTCCCTCAACATTGCTCTTGTTCTTTCTAACAAGGTTCTGTTCATCCGCTCTGCCACTCCATTTTATTGAGGAGTGTTCGCCACTGTGAACTGTCTTTTGATGCCTTCTTTCTTACAAAAGTCATCAAATTCTTCGCTTGTGTATTCTCCTCCATTATCTATTCTGAAACACTTGATCTTATTTCCAGAATCAAGTTCCACCCGCGCTTTGAAGTTTTTGAAAGTTGAAAACACGTCCGACTTCTTCTTAATAGGGTGCACCCAACATCTCCTGGAGTAATCATCAATAAATGAGACAAAGTATTTTGCTCCACCTAGGGACGTTACTGGTGCTTGCCATACGTCAGAGTGAACCAATTCTAGAACACTTTTGCCTCTAGAATTTGATGTGTTGAATTTCAACCGGTGCTGCTTACTTGTTATGCAATGCTCACACAAAGGAAGTGATACCTTTGTTAAGCCTGGAAGTAGTTTTTGCTCCATAAAGACTTTCATTCCTTGTTCTGACATGTGTCCAAGTTTCTGATGCCATAGCATTGCCGAATCTGAACTACATGAGACAACAGAGGCTTCTGCTTCTACCAAAGTCTCTCCCTTCAGCATGTACAAGTTTGCAGCTATCTTTTCACCTTTCAGCACCACAAGCGCTCCACGGAACACCTTCATGATTCCTTTCCGTGTTTCAATCTTGCTTGCATTATTATCCAACAATCCGTAGGATAATAAATTTTTCTTCAAGCCTTTCACGTGCCGCACATCTCGAACAACTTTAATTGTTCCGTCATACATCTTCAATTTGATGGTTCCCACGCCAACGATCTCTAAGGCATGATCATTGCAACTATAAACAGATCCTCCTGAGACAGGTTCATAATGATGGAACCATTCTCTTCTTGAGGTCATGTGATATATTGCTCCCGAATCAATGAGCCATATATCTGCAAATCGTTTTCTTCCTTCTACGGTGGTTGATGCTTCACAACATAGAGCATCTCCATCATCTGAAGTGTTTGCGGTATTGTCTTGTGGATTGGAATTTTTATTTAGACTCCAACAATCATTCTTCAAGTGACCCTTCTTTCCACAGTTGTAACACTTTAAATTCTTCTTGCTCCTCGACTTCGATCTACCATGTTTGTGACTGCTGCTTTGGCCACGTTCTGTTGATCTTCCTCTCATCGTTGTCATCGTTGTCAACGCTTCTGCTTGTTGCAGATTTACTTGTCTGTCTTCCTTATTCTTGCGCCGATTTTCTTCTTGTAGAACAGCAGCTGCAACATCATCGAAGACTAAACTGGTGACATTATTGTTTGTCAAGTTAATGATGAGTTGATCGTATGAATCCGGTAGACTTTGAAGTAGAAGTTCAACACGTTCTTGTTCTCCTATTTTACAGCTTAAGGATGTAAGCTGAGAAAATAAGGTGTTCAGTGTATTTAAGTGCTCCGTCACTGAAGTAGATTCTGGCATACGGAGAGTATACAATTTCCTTTTAAGGAAAATTTTATTGTGCAGCGATGTGGCCTCGAACAATTTGGTGAGATGATCCCATATCTCCTTAGCTGTCTTCTTCTCCTCGATGCTTGACAATACTTCATCTGCTAATGCTAGATGAAAGTTTGCCATAGCATTCCCGTCCATCTCGTTCCATTTGATGTCATCTGCAAAATCCACCGGCCTTTCACTGATAGCAGCTAGACACCCGTCTTTCCTCAGGATGGCCTTCATCTTCAATTTCCACAATGAGAAATTTCTCCCATTGAATTTTTCAATATCAAATTTCGTTGCCATAGCTTCTTTTACGGATAGCTCCCACTATTTCACTATCGTGAATAGTTCTCTGGAACCTTCAAAGAATGGGTAATACCTTCTTACTTTCTTATGTTGGAGGATCCACCTTTTGGTGGTAACCACAAAGACAATAAGCAGATATTACACACTCTAATCTAGCTCGGATACCAATTGTTACGGAAGACGGCTATCGGATAGAGCAAAATCGTAACTGATAATTTGAGAAAATAAAAATGAAGATAAAAAGAGACACAAAATTTACGTGGAAAATCCCTAAATAAAATAGGTTAAAAATCACGGGCAACGGTAAAAGAATTTCACTATGAGAAAATATGAATTACAATCTCTCTCGATCTACCAAGGAGAAAATAAGGATAATTCTCTCTCGATAAAAAGGAGAAAACAACTCTCAAGAAACTCTCTAAATTCTCTCTAGTATTGGAAGAAAGCTAGAATGTTTTGAGATGGTTTTGAAGCTAAATGAGCTAGGGTATTTATAGTTGAAGTCTTAAGGACTAATTTGTAAATACCTTAAATTACAATGACTAAATTTAAGCTTTTACCATTTTATTTTTCAACAATTTCAGCCCCTTTTTTACTACATGAATCGGTGCCCCATTTGTTTTTAATTTTCCAACTTTCGGTGCCATGTGCACTAGATTTCAACATGAACGGCATTCACATTTTCAACTGCTTCTGGTTCAGCCTTAGGTAAACCATCCTCAATCTGTTGCGCTGCAGATTTCTTGTCACGCACAAGTTCATCGATAAGATGGAGTTTCTTCTGCGTGATTTTCTCGATTTCAGGATAGGCTGAAGTTTGTCCAATGCCGGCGGTTTTGCACCATGAATAGAAATTATCGAGTTCATCTAATTGCTTCCCTTGTCGGCAGAAAATGTCGTAAGCATTGATGGATTCAGCAATATCTAGCTCCGTGAAACGATCGATATAAATCTTTAGTATTTCAGTTATGTCGTAATATAACTGGAAACTTTCTTCCACTATTTGGTACAGCGCCACCGTCACCACCCTGTGGCACTTCGCCGCCCCTTTTCAATCAACAAAAAAAGCCACAAATTATATAGAATTTTGTCAAATGATATAATTAGTGTTATTCGGGGTAATATTATTCAAAAAGAAATAACGCATGCAATAAGTATCGGAAGACGTGTGTTTGTACGAGCACGATCTTTTAGATAGAAATTAACCTGTTGGTCGACAGGCTAAAAAGCGTTCAAGCAGCTGCTGCAAATGCTGCAATGTCGTAAATATCTGCTCCGTCTTCATGTCACGAAAGTGGGAGGTTTTACTGGCATTTTCCTTGTCGTTGGTCTCTTCCTCTCTCTCTTCATCCTTGGTCGACGTGGTTTTATAAGGCTTTGCTTCACGTCTATCTTGAATTTTGTATTCCAATCTCTCGTCGAGGTACAGCGCGTAAGCACGCACAAAGGCGGAGAAATCCCAGGAATCGTTCCGTGTAGCATCGCGGAAATCGGACAAGTTGAGTATCCGAGTCCCACGCCTAGTGGAAAAGAAAAACTCCTGTTCGTATGCAGGATCGCCTTCGGCCAACAGCCTTTGGATCAACATCAAAGATTTCAGCGCAACGGTCCAACTTTTGGTCTTGTTGAGGCGCTTCCACAGGGTGTTAACGCATGCGATGATGTAGGCCCGTAAGTATGACGTTGTGCATACGATTTCTCGGAAGTATCGATCGTCGGCCGGATACTCTTCGTGCTTTGTTGCCTTAACGATGGCGACATCAAGGTCCGACAGCTAGGTGTTGCCGCTAACTTTGGCTAGCCTAATCTTGGTTTGGTCCTTGACGCGCCCAATGGCTTTTTTGAGTTTGCTTGGAGCCATTGGTACTTACTTAGGTTACCCAATTATCAGATTTTGCGAAAATAGAAAATCCCAAACAACAATAGCTGTTGATTTTGGTGTTTGCATTGTAAATAAAACCAATGCTTTCAGGTCAATCGACATCAAAGAGAAGATTATGTTCAAAGATAACAACTCTTAAAGCCCAAACCCCTTCGGCCTCTTACTCCATCACCACATGAACTCTTCCCGCCAAATAATTATCTCATCTGTTTTCTGTTATAGACTACAAAGCCAATACATCATTTTCTTTTTTTCTTTTTTTGAAAATTACAAAGCCAATACATCGGTTGAATAGAATCATACTCTTCGCTGAAATTCAAATTTCTTCGCCAAAAAAAAAATCAAAATCTTTTGAAATAATACAAAGAGCAGACTGAATAGGTGAAAAAGAGCAAGACCATTCTATAATACAGAAAATCACAATGAAACCAATGATCAGAGATTCAAAAAATAAGAAAAGAAAAAACAAAGCAACGATACTATTTCGAAACTAAAACCAGCAAAAGAACATATCAAGCAGAAGAATTCGCATTCTGAGAATCGAAATGAAATTGAAAGAAGATTGGATGAATTACCTAAAAGAAGAATAGCGGCGACTGGCGAGAGAATTTAGCCAAGGTTAAAGGTGATGGTTGAATCTTCTTTTGTGAGAAAGGAAATTACAAAGAGTGAAAGAGGGTTCCGGATGAGTGCTTTGTTTCTCTTTATATAGTGCCGAGGGAAGACTGAAAAAAAAAACAGTACCACAGCCAAGTACAAAAACATCGGCCTAATTATACTCTTAGTCCCTATGTTTTCGCACATTGGCAATGTAGTCCTCTAATTTTAACTTTAGGAATTAATCTCACTATTCTTTTGATGTAATACCATGAAAAAAATATTCACAAACAATATTCACATGATATTAATTGTTTCAATGTATAAGACTTAACATTTAAAATAATACATAGTAAACAATAACGGGGACAAAATATAAGATTATCAACACCACCACAAACAGTAGATGCATGACAGAATGGTCTAATTTACAACAATTATAAACTTGGAAAACGATTATAGCAGCCAAGCCATGCATCATTGGCCAATGCTGTAAGACAATATTGTGACCATGATACCACTATTAATCCACACAAGACTATATATTTACGGAGTCTCCCTAAAGAAACCAAATCTTATAAACAATTCCACAGTTTAACAAACAGCCTTAAACCCCAAACTAGGTTCCTCCATGGCCAGTAAGCTTTGACTTCAGATTCCGTCAATGGGGTTCTTCAGATTCCCATTAAGCAATGACATGAGACTTCCACCATGGACCCTCCCCTCTGGGATCAAGAAGTCGAAGCTCTTTCTGCTGACATTGCCGACAATGTGATTGTCGTACCTGTTTATCCCTTCCTTTTGCTGCTCGGAACTCGGGAAACTTGAGCACGAGGATGAGGGCTTCATAGATAATGGAACCAACACCTGTGGAGGTATGAGTTGTGGCCCTTTCGTCGGCTTGTTTGGTGAATCGATGCAATCGGAAATGACACTGTTCCCTGAGGAGGAGTGATTGTTGTTGAAGCTGCTTCCTGAGGTCGATGTAGCCGATACAAGACCGTGGAAAACTCCGGGGGCAATGAGCCCTCCTCCCTTGCTTGCCTCCCTCTCTTGCAACATGCTGCTATGAGCTGCACACAGACCACTCCTGCCCCTTGCAAATTTCTCACATTTGCTTTCACCCCAGGAGCATCTTTTACCCCCACCATGGGCCTTACACAAATCTGTGCTTCCTTGGGCACTCTTGCCGCAGTTCTCGAACTTGCATCGCTTTCCACCACCGTGTCTGACGCAACAATCGGTGCGACCGCGTGCGCTCTTTGTACAGCCTGACACTACACACCTCTTCCCACCACCATGTGCAACACAAAAATTGGTGCCTCCATGCACACTCTTGGGACAAATGCCGCCACCATTGTAGAGGCAACGCTTTCCCCCACCATGTCCTTTGCACAATGGCGTGCTCCCTTCAGCGCCTTTGGTACACCCAGCAAAGATACACCGTTTTCCACCACCATGAGCCTTGCAAAACATGGTACTCCCTTGAGCACCCTTAGTGCATGCTGGGAACTGGCACCGACGCCCACCACCATGAGATATGCACAAACCAGCTTGTCCTTCAGCACTGCGGGTGCAACCTTCAACCTTACACCTTTTCCCCCCACCATGTCTGATGCAAAGCCCGGATTTACCTCGTGCGGCCTTTGTGCACCCTCCAGGGAAGCCGCATCGTCTGCCTCCACCATGTGCTATGCAAAAATCCGTCTTACCCTCAGCACTTTTAGTGCAGCCCAAGTGCTGGCACCTCCTCCCTCCACCATGAGCCTTACAGAAGACGGTACGGCTCTCGGCACCTTTATTACACCCTTCTTTTTGGCATCTTTGTCCGCCTCCATGACCAATACATAGACCAGTTGCCCCTCTTGCACCTTTGAAGCAACCGGCAAACTTGCATTTCTTTGAATTGCTAGGTCGGTTATCTGAAGAAGTCATAGTGGTGGTTTTCTCAGAGAGTTTGTCTACCAAGAAATCCGTCTGACTAGAGGGCTCACAACTTTGATGTATTCGATGACAATGAGATTCATTTCCAAACTGGAAAAGTTCAAGTGTTTGCACCAAGGCTTTCCCACTATCCATTCTTGGTGCCAAAAGGAGTGATGGCATATAGCCACCAGATTTCTTCGCCGAAGTAGAACCCTCATCGACAACAGGTAGTATTTTGTTTGAAAGAGGCATACTAGCATCAGTGTCTGTCAACAATGAACATTCCAACGGATTCATACTCTCCTTGGTACCTCCAGTAAGGCCGAGTTTTAGGATAGAGTTATCCTCAGGGGGCAAACCCGGTATGAATGAAGTTGCTGATGATTTGCTCTTGTTGAGGCCAATATCGTGATAATCATTGCATACACTTGAAGTTGGACCCAACCCCAGAACCAACCTGCAGCCATCATCAGGGGCAGAAGAAAGACCAGCATGAAGATCGCTTCGAGTACTTCCAAATCCTGCCTTGTAGCTTCCTCCATAGCCAAGAAAGTTCATGCATAAAGTGGTATCACCGAAATTTTCATTTTTCAAGAGTTCAGACAAATGGGAAAACTGTACATTCTTATTCAAATCCATAGATGCTGTGAACTATAACGCCAAGGAAGAGGAGGCAGGGCAAACTTACAGGAAAATCTTTAACACATGCTACTGACTGGTATACATATCATTAAAAAAATTAGGAAAACAAAAGATATCCTGATTACATTCCTCCTCCGCTTAAGAATCCCGACGTATCGGCTCGGTCCATTTTATCAAGCGTCACAATAACAGCACAGACTTGAACTATGTAGAGGCTTAGTAGTAGCTGATGTATCTGACAACTTTTCTAGGACAAAATCCTTTTATAAGAACGTTCAAAGTAGATTCAAACCGATACATAGAGCGGCTTGTGCTCCTGGTTGACAGACTGATTATCTTCACTAACCCTGACATGCAAAAACAATTTAAGCATCATGATCGGGTCCAAATTAAAAACCATCTAAATACATTAGACTTGAGTAATAACATTTCAGTAGCATTTATTAGATACTAGCATCAAAACTTAAACGAGGGGAAGTTATACATTATTAGACGGTAGAGACTTAAGATTGAATATAACAGATTCATGATTAGACGGTAAATTTTGGTGACCAGCAACACGTTTATCGATTACAACCCAATCCCTTGAGATTAGAACTTAATACCATCTTATACTCTGTGAAAGGACAAAGAAGACGCTCATATAGACCAAGAAACAAAGAACATGATTAAAAAGAACAGAGTTAACAGGAAAAAAGAATAAAACCATTTATATCACAAGAACTGCAGCCAAATTTTTTTAAAAAAATCTTCCATCTTAAGCATAGATCTGAAACTAGACAAATACCTTAAGAACTGAACTTCACAAAACAACTGGAATCACTCATACACAACACAGATTTAAGAAAAGAAAAAAGGACTAGGGGACCCTCTCAAAAATAGATAAGTGAACTAAAAATTTCGTCAAAGAAAAGAAAACTCAGATTAGTTTGAGTTCAGCCGCGTATTAGACTTTCGATCAAGATTAAAAGTGTGCATAAAGACCAAAACAAGGAAAATTCACCATATTTCCTTCTTTGAATGATTAACATACCCTCCAAGGCTAAAAAAAAAACACAAATCTAAATATAACATGAGATTCTGAAACACGTAAGAAGTAAAGTTACCCTAAAAAAAAGTTCGGCAATAAAAAATGAGAGCAAAATCAATGGAATAAAAATAAGCAGCAAGCAGTGAATAAAACCATTGAACTCGAAGGGAAATGAAAAGATAATTGTAGATATACCGTGAAGAAATCCAAATTTAGAGCAAATTGAAGGATATGAGACGCTGCTAGAGGCATATTGAGAAAGCTGGAGAATCTTTAAAACAGAGCCGATAAAAGTTTGGTACGAACAAAAGCAGAATAAAAATCTAACAAAGCGTGAAAAGATGAGAGAAGAATGGAGAAGACAAAGAAAGTGAAAAAAAAAAAAAATAAACGAGAGAAGAAGAGATACTGAAGCGAGGATCTGATAATTCATAATATGATCCGAAACGGAAACAATATAATTAATATTATATAATATTATTTACATATTGATTATAAATTATGTCATTTAAAAACAGTTAATTTTATTAAATATGATGAAATATCTAAAATTATAATAAAATTTAAAATTGTAATTTTAAACTAAACGTTTGGGTTTTTTTTATAGAGAAAATAACATCAATGACTAAAAATCCCATATAATATACGATTTTAACTAACTTTTTTCGGATTTGCCAAAATGACCAACAAAATCGCAATGCGATCGCTAATTCGCAACGCGATCTCCATTATCGTAAATCAGTTTCCAGATTCGCAACGCGATTATGATTATCGCAATGCGATTTTCCAATTTCGCGTTACGATTTTCCCAATTCGCAATGCGAAAAAGTAAATCGCAATGCGAATTTGGAAAATCGCAACGCGATACTGACTATCGCAACGCGATAATACAAAATCGCAACGCGATACTGACTTTCGCAATGCGATACTTAATTTCGCAACGCGATACTGACTTTCGCAACGAGATAATACATAATCGCAATGCGATTTTCAAAACGCCATTAGTATCGCAAAGCGTATTTTATTTTCAAATTCCAAACACGAATATTAATATATTGGAACACTGAACCGTCCACAGTATATCCCGTAATCGCAACTCATAACCTAAAACCTAAAATCACAACTCAGTCCCATCTCCATCTCTCACTCTCTCACCCATCTCTGACGAAATCCGTCCCCATCTCCGTCGAAATCCGTCTATCTCTATCTCTCAGAGCCACCCTCACAATCAGAAATGGAAAATCAACCAAATCAACCACCGAGGGTTAGTTTTTTTAATTATTTTCTTTTTGAAATTTTTGCATTATTATTAGGTTTTTCATATTGAAATTGATGATAAGTTTACTGGTAATTTCAATAATAGATTAACCATTTCACTTAGATTACTTATTAAATCAACCGAGAATGGCAACGCGAAATGAAAATCGCAACGACAAAATCGCAACGCGATTTTATTCTCTCGTTGCGATAGTCAAATTCGCGTTGCAATTGTCATTTTCGTGTTGCGATTTTCATTTTCAGAAATTATTCTTCTTCTGCAAATTGAAACTTAAATGAATTGCATTACTTCAACAAAAAAACAAAGACAAATAAGAAATTCACAGTGTTGCAAATTTAAGTTTGAAGAATAAACTACTACTCTTTATGTTTATTATTGTTTTTGGTATTTCTTCACAGTGTAGTTTTTGGTATATCTAACTTAGTATGTTTATTGTTTTTGTAGAACTTTTATTCGGCTCAATTGACCTTAATAAATAAAGTCAGCCTGGCCAAAACAATTGTGTCGAAGCTTTCACCTGCACAAAGAAAAATGTTTGAGGATACTTGCTTCGGGCCATGGCTGAAAGTACAACATCCCGGTGGAGATGCGATGTTGACACACCTGTTTCTTCAAACCATGACTAGCGATCTACCATATACTATACAACGTCGTGATGAAGAGATATGGTTTGATTTTCCACCGGCGTATACGTGTTTTGGGCGGGAGGAGTTTTGCTTAATCACCGGTCTACGCTTCGGACACGATGATGTAGGTCGGTACACTAGACACATTACCCACCCATCATGGTTATCCCGGGTTTTTCCTGAGCTGGAGAGGCCGAATCTACACGTGGAAGACATGACGAGATTATTGAATAAGAAAGATGGTTTTACTCGGATGGATGACGTCGATGTTGTCCGAGTATGCCTTCTAATACTTTTGCATGCTGGCTTTTTAGGCAAAGAGGCCAGACAACTTATTCCGAATGATCTAATCAAATTGGTAGAAGACCTAAATGCGTGGAACCTGTTTCCGTGGGGCTCGTATTTATGGAAAGCTACATGGAATAAGTTATCGTTTGCCTTGGATGATCGAAAAAGTTTGCATGGCGATGGTTCCAAATACACTTTGGCAGGCTTTATTTGGGCCTTTAAGGTAAGAATTTTTATATAATGTTTCCAAAATTATAAGTAATTATTTAACAATTACTAATGTTTTTTATTATATTGTTTGTAGATTTGGATATTTGAGGCCTTTCCCGCCATGAAGACATATGCAATAAAAACTTCAAATGATATTCCCAGGACTATTTCCTGGAAGAGGAAACAGGCCTTGCAATGGGAAGATTTACTACGGTATACGATAATAAATAATGTAAGTTAACATAAATACTACCATATGTTTATAAACAAGTGATTACTAGTACACGTTTAACTTTGTTTGAGCTTTTATATTGTTAAGAGGCCAACACTCCATTACAGAGGCTGACACCCACGGAAGCTGAGCTTGCCACTGATTGGTGGCAAGCTAGTAAGCGTTTTTTTGATGGCACGGATGATGAGCAGCCTCCACTTCGGGAGCCATCACCTCACCCAGAGCCATGACCCGACTATACAGCTCCACAATGACAACCATCACCTATTCTGTCACATCATCAAGCCTTTTCTCCACCATCACCGCAAGATAGGCGACCGGCAAAGTTGCCACGACGTTTATCTCCCTGTTCTCCACCTCCACCTCCACGGGATGAGTTAGGGGAGTTACGTGTTGAGGTCAATGCCTTGCGTGAGGAGGTCGGTACTTTACGCAAAGACGATGGTGCATGGCGTGTTGAGGTGTCTACTTTACGCGGTGAGGTAGCCGCTCTACGTGAGATGGTAGCATCGTTGTAGAATGAGGTTCATACTCTACGCAACGAGGTAAGTTTAAGATTTTTCATATTTAACTTGATGATAAATTTACTCGTAATTTCACTTAGATTAACCATTTCACTTAGATTGCTTAATAAATTCATTCGGTTGCTGCCAATACTGCTAAACTGTTTTTGTTAGTATTTGTTTTTGGTTTTGTTTTTGTCTTTTGGTTGAAGTAATGCAATCCATTCAAGTTTCAATTTGCAGAAGAAGAATAGTTTACTTTCGCAACACGAAAATAACTATCGCAATGCGGAAATGGCTATCGCAATGCGAAATGAAAATCGTAACGACAAAATCGTAATGCGAAATGAAAATCGCAACGCGAAATGAAAATCGCAATGCGATTTGTGTTTCGCGTTGCGATTTTGTCATTGCGATTTTCATTTCGCATTGCGATTTTGTCGTTGCGATTTTCATTTCGCATTGCGATAGCCATTTCTGCGTTGCGATAGCCATTTCCGCATTGCGATAGTCATTTTCGCATTGCGAAAGTAAGTTTCGTGTTGCGAAAGTAAACTATTATTCTTCTGGAATGTTTATATATGTTGTCCTTTTAAATGTTTATATAAATGCTTACTTCTGGAATGTTATCTGATGCATTTTGTGAACTATGATAGAATAATGACTTGGGTGAATACAATGCAAGTTTGAAACATATTTGTCTTTGTTTAATATCATGTCTGTTTATTTACTGATTTATGTATTAATGTTTTTTAGCGGCCCGATAAAGTGGATGCTTTACGTTGGGTTTTACTTGCACGATGGAGTTCACGCATCAGACGGTGTGCACGTGCTATTACGTCTCCGTTCACCCCAATGGTGTGAAGACTCCGCAAGAAGAAGCCCGACTCACCTGTCATCCCTCAAGAGTCCCCTCCAATCATTCAAGAGGCCCCTATCATCCCTCAAGAGTCCCCCCCACCGTTCAAGAGGCCACTGTCATCGTTAAAGAGGTTCCTCCCACCATTCCAGAGCCCGATTCACATGGGGTAATATATAGAATTATTGAGAAACCACCACCGTTACCGGACATGATGGATGAGAGTTGGCTCTCGTATGAGTTACCGGCTAGTACCCTTCCGGTATCTGAAGTGGAGAGGAGACAACTACCGGAAACAATTCTGGATAATACCCTTTGGGCTAAGACCGCAGTTGATTTTTATCTACATGAGCGGAGCCAAGGGTGTTACACTGACATAAGCAAACTCAACGATGAGATGTATTTGTTGCTTAATCGGTCTTGGTGGGGTGTGTTATTAGGGGTTGAAGACAGTGGCTATTTTGATGGGGAGGTAAGTCTTATATTTGTCTTATATATGATTTTGATTAATTTTTTTAAAAATTAATGTAATTCACTAATATATGTCTTTTTTTATAAAACAGCATATCGATGCATGGGTGTCACGTCTTCTAATAATAAGGAAGCTTAGGAAAAATAAAAAAAATTCGCGATATACAATAATGCCGGCGGCTTTTCACGCAGTTCACTTGAAGAATCAACGAGATGAATCATTTTCGTTGGGCAATGGACAAGCTAAACTTTATCCTGCATGGTGGGAGGTCGATAAGGTTAGTGTTTATTTTTTAAATTTTTTAAAGGTGTTCATAAATAAGTGCGCAAATAAATGAATTATTACTTATGATTGCAGGTGTTTATCCCTATTTTGGAACGTCGTCATTGGCTTCTCGTCCAACTTCAGCTCCCATCCCTGAAGATAATAGTATATGACAACATGATAAATTACATATCACTGTCTGATTTGAGAGATATTATCAAGGGATGGAGCTCTCATTTGGCTAAATTCTTGGATGAGATTAATTATTGGACTCATTCTGGACACAAGAAGCCAAAGAAGTTCAATGTCACAGTTGTCAGAGACGAGACCGCGCCACAACAATCACCGGGAGCTAGAGGGGATTGTGGTCCTCTCGTATGCATGTGCTTGGCGCGTTTGACGACGGGAAGCACAGAGTTTCTACCTCCCACCGATAGATATAGAGCTACAGTAGGCTTGTGGTTTCGGCATTATATGGCTAGAGCGATATATTCGAGACGCTGCCTACCTGCATCCGCGTTATGAAAGTATCCATTGTTAATTGGTAAGTCAAATGCAAGTTTTGTTA